CTCTTTCTTCTTTCTTTCTTTCTTTCTTTCTTTCTTTCTTTCTTTCTTTCTTTCTTTCTTTCTTTCTTCTTTCTTTCTCTCTGAGACAGGGTCTCATTATATAGCACTGGCTGGCCTAGAACTTCCTAGGTAGACCAGGATGACCTCAGATTCACAGAAATCTGCCTGCCTCTGCTTTCCAAGTGCTGGGACAAAAGATGTGTGTTACCATGCCCGGCTTTGGCATATTTCTTATGTATTATTATTTATTTAAAAAACTGATTTCATTAGGGGCTGGAGGGATGGCTCAGTGGTTAAGAGCACTGGTTGCTCTTGCAGAAGACCTGTGTTTGGTTCTCAGCACCCACAAGGTGGCTAACAACTGTCCTTAACTCTAGTTTCAGGGTATCCAATGCCCTCTTCTGGCTCTGCAGACATTGCACAACACGGATGCACTTTCATATGTGCAGACAGAACACTCATACACATAAAATGTAAATAAACAAAAATTAAAAAAAATCAAGTTCATTGGACTTAGTTATTACATATCTTTTTTTTTCCTGTTTTTCTTTTCGTGGTGCTGGGTTTTGAACCTAAGGCTTCCTCACACATGCCAGGCAAGTACTCTATCACTGGGTTACATTCCTAGTCCCTTTCTGTTTCAGATAACAGAATCAAGCTTCAGAAGGTCAAGGGAGGAGGCCTTAGCATGGATGTCTTCCGGCAGTAACCTGTGCCTGTTCTGTGTGGTTGGGCAGTAGTATGGTGTAGTTAGTGTGTTAGAAGCTCTTTGTACAGTAGAAGTCACTGCTATGTTTAAGTTGTTATTATTAGAAGCACACATTTTCCCATCTCCTGAAATGTCAAATGTACATAGTATGTAGGAATACTGGGCTTTAAAGTGGTTCTTTAGAGGTCTGTTTCTGGCAATATTATAAAGTAAGTATCCCTAGTTCTGGGGTTGAACTCAAGGCCTTGCAAGTGTAGAGCTTCCAGTACTAGAGGGGTATGGTGACACATGCCTTAATCTCAGTATTTGGGAGGCAGAGGAAGGTAGAGCTCGGTGGGTTCGAGGCCAGACTGGTCTACATAGCGAGTTCTAAGATAGCCAGGGCTACACAATGATACCTTACCTCAAAAACCACAAAACAAACAAACTCCCAGTACTATAGAGAATAATGGACCCAAATTGAAAGAAGAAATACAAATGGCCAATGAGCATATGAAAAAATACTACCATTAGCTATGCATTATTTTAAATCCTCTAAAGTGCATATTTGCCCAATATTCTTATATGTGTTGAAATGGAAAGGGTTTCAGGATACTTACTTTGTTATATTGACAGAAACAGATCTCTAAATAATCACTTTAAAGCCCAGTATTACTACATACTGTGTACATTTGACATTAAAGGAGATGGGAAAATTTGTGCTTCTAACAACAGTAGTAACTTATCCAACATAAGGATCTCAAAAACTTAACAACGGAAATCCAATTTTGAAATGAGTATGTTTGTTTTGTTTCCTTGGTCAAAAATCTCTTGGCTGTAGCTGTTGTGTTTACCTCTGGGATCTCTATTCTGTTTAATTTGTTTTTATGTGAGTACCATGCCATCTTGGTTATCACGGCTCTGTAGTATGTCTTGAAACCAGGTATTGTGATGCCTCTAATTTTGTTCTCTTGTTCAAGATTGCTTTGGTTATTTAGGGTCTATTGTATATCAATTTACATTTTAGGATTTTTTTTCCAGTTCTATGAAAGTGTGAAAAAAAGGAGCCTTTTATTCATTGTTGGTGGGAATATAAATTCATATAACCAATATATAGAGTAATATGGAGGTTTCTAAACAACGAAAGTGGCTCTCCCTCCTTCTCCCATCCCTCTGTCCTCCCTGCTGTTTCCCCTTCCTCCCAGTGACCCCCTTCTGCTTTCATGTCGCATGCCCCATGGTCCCCTTTCAAGTTTCATGACATACACCCACACCTACACTCACATCCACTCACACACATTCAAAATTAAAATCTAGGATATGCATATGAAGGGAAACATATGCTATTGGTCTTTTGGAATCTGTAATATAATTTCCAGTTCCATCAAATTTTCTGCAAATAACATTTCATCTTCCTTTTTTGCTGAATAAAGTTCCATTTTTCTGTGTGTGTATGTAATATTAAGAAAACAAAAGATAACACATGCTGGTGAGGATGTGAGGAAAGAGAAACCCATGTTTACTGCTGGTGGGAAGGTAAACTGATATAGTCACTATGGCACAATCATATTTATTGCTGCTCTATTCATGATAGGAAATGGAACCAGCCTAGATGTCCATCAACAGATGAATGGAGAAAAATACTTAAGTCTGCCTTTTTCACAATGTGTTTACCATCAGAACACATGTATTATGAACACCACACTAAACTGAAGCTAAAACAGGAAAGGAAAAGACTCATTTAAATATAATTGTTCTTGGGCACTTGGATTTGGCCAAGTTCACCACTACTGACCATCTGACCTGCAAATGTAGTAGAATCAACAGAAGAATCTCAAAAATAATTGAGAAGGAGGTTGCTGAGATGGGAAGGGTTGTTTCAAGTAGGCCTGGGTCTTGGAAGCCAAGAGTAACCATGGCTCCACCAATGGCATCTTTATCAACAGCACAATCGCTGGCACATGACTTGCTGTCCTGCTGGTTGATGTTGGTGTTGTTGAATTTCAAGCTGGCATCTCCAAGAATGGCAGAATTGTGATCAAGTTCTTTGGCTCACACACCAAGTGTGAAACAGTTAAGTGTTGTTAACAAAATGGATTCCACCAAGTCATCCTACAGCCAGTCAGCATCTACGCTTGGAAAGGTGACTACAACCTTGACACAGTAGCATTTGAACCGATTTCTGGTTGAAATAATGACAATATGCTGGAACCAAATGCTAATATACCTCAGTTTAAGGAGTGGAAAGTGACCTCTGAAGATGGCAGTGCCCATGGAACCATACTGCTGGAAGCTCCAGATGACATGCTGTCACCAGTTCATCCAAATGCCCTCTCCAGCATGTCTATGGTATTGTCCCTGTGGACCAACTGGAGATTGGTGTTCTCAAGCCTAGCATGGCAGTTATCCGTGCTCCATTTGTGTCACACAGACACGTTCTATTGAAATGCACCATGAGACTCTGAGTGAAGCTCTTCTTGGGGACAGAGGGCTTCAGTGTCAAGTACGCCTTTGTCAAAGATGTTCATCCTGGAAATGTGCTGGCAGCAAAAATGACCCATCGGTGGGGGCAGTTAGCCTTACTGCTCAGGTGATTGATCATCCAGACCAAATCACAGCTGGCTTTGCCTCTGTACTGGATTGTCACATAACTTATGCAATGTGCAAGTTTGCTGAGCTGAAAGACAAGATTGATCACCATTCTGGTAAAAAAAAAAAAAAAAGAAGATGGTCTTCATTTTTGAAATTTGGTGATGCTGCCATCATTGATGTGCTAGGCTAGCCCATGTGTGTGGAGAACATCGCTGACTGTCCTCCTCTGGGTCATTTGGCTGTTTGTGATATAAGACAGATGGTTGCTATGGGTGCCATCCAGGCTGTAGAGAAGGCTGCTGGAGCTAGCCAGGCCTGCCCAGGCTTCACCATTCCAGGTTCATAGACTGGCTAAGGGGCCAGTAAGATGGCTCAGTGGGTAAAAATACTTGCCATGTAAGCCTGATGATTTGAGTTCCACCCCTGGAAACATGTAGAGGTGGGAAGAAAGAACTGACTCCATCAAATTGTCCTCTGATCTCGTGTAGTGGCATGCCCCCATAACAATAAATAAAATAAAAATTTAAAATGACTTGTGCATAATAAAACCTTCAGAAGGAAAAGAATGTTGTGTGGACAATTTGTGTGTGCATTAGTTTTAAGCTATTCATTTTAAAAATCAGTGCTTTTAATATTTTATTTATTATGTTTATTTTATGTGTAAGTGCACTTGTGTCGTGCAGTGCCCACAAAGGTTAGAGGGCGTCAGATCCCCTGAAACTAGAGTTACAGACAGTTGTTAGCTGCAATATGGATGCTGGGAACTGAACCCCAGTCTTCTGCAAGAGCAGCCAGTGCTCTTAAACTGCTGAGGGAATCTCTCCAGCCCTGGAAGTGTTTGTTTTGGCTCACAGTTTAAGAAGGGATACAGTCCATCATGGTGAGGAAGGCATGGTGGCAGGGGCATCATGTAGCTGGTCACATTGTATCCAGAGTCAAGAAGCAGAGAGGGATGAATGCTGCTGTCCCTCTACCTTCCTCCCTTCTCTTCAGTCTGGGATCCCAGCCCATGGATGGTGCTGCCCACACTCAGGGTGGGTCTTCCTCCCTCAGCCAAACTTTTCTGGAAACACCTTGACAGACATGCTCAGAGGAGCGTCTCCTAGCTGATTATAAATCCCATCACACTGACAATGAAGATCAACCACCACATGAACGTTCTTTTTGTTAAAGATGATATAGAACTCTGTATTTTGGCATATCTTCGTTTTTTGTAGCAGCAGAAGGTACTTTATTTATACCTAAAACCAAGTACAAAATGACAGTTCAAAGGAAAAAAAAAACCTCAAATTAAACTCGGTAACAGCCACTTAGAGTTGGGAAGTTGCTGGCTTTCACAGTGCATGCACTGGCACTATTTTACTTTCCTCAAAGGATCCTAGTTCCTCCACACCCTCACCAGCACAATCTTTCCTATTCTTTTATTTATTTATTTTTTTGGTCTTTTTGAAGCAGGGTCTCCCTGTAGCCCGAGCTGTCCTGGAACTCACTATGTAGACCAGGCTGGCCTCGAACTCACAGAGATCCACCTGCCCCTGCCTCCCAAGTGCTGGGACTACAGGCGTGCGCCACCATGCCCGGCTCCTTTCCTGTTCTTTTGATGGTAGCATCTAAAAGCTGCGAGGCTGTGACTCATCGTGGTTCTGAGTTGCATTTGTCCAGCTTTGTCTTTCCATTTGATTTTGGTTATCTGCAGTGACCATGCTGTACTTCTTTCCAGGAAGGAGATGAAGTGGCTGGAGCAGTCCGGGTCTCTGAAAGGCTCTCTGAGCGCAGAGCAGCAGCTGTCACTCATCAGTGGTTGCGGCAACCTCGCAGAGGCGGTAGAGGGCACCATGCACATTCAGGTGAGTCCAAAGCACTGCCCAGGACTCCAACTTTTCTGAAGGAAGCACTGGGCAAGATTGGAGGCGGTGGGAGACACGGACATTGTGTAACTTCGAGGTCAGAATTTTATGTGACAGGAAACGGTCATCAAAGCATCCCCCTACAAGTGCTCATCAAAGTACTATGGAAATATAAATCTTGGAGGTGTCCGAATCTTGAGTAGGTTTTCTGGACTGCTAACAGTATTTTATTTTGCTTTATCACCTTCCTAAGTGGGCACGTTCTTACTCTCATATGTAGTTAGGTAAAAAGCTTAAGGAAATAACCTGAAAGAAAACTTCTATTTTTTTAAAATATTTTATTTATTATTTTTATTTTATGTGTATGAGTGTATTGCCTGCATGTATGTGAGTGCACCTGTGTCATGCAATGCCACGGTGGTCAGAAGAGGGCTTCGGATTCCCCTGGAACTGGAGTTAAGGATGGTTCATAGCTGCCATGTGGGTGCTGGGAATCGAACCGGGTCCTCTGCAAGAGCAGTCAAGTGTTCTTAACTGCTGAGCCATCTCTCCAGCCCCAAAAACCTCTATTTGTATTTAGTGTTTTCAATAACTCCACTGAGAAAGGAATTCTCCTGGGCATCCTTTGCTCAGCTTGGAGCCTGGAGAATGAGGCAGTTGTTCCAGGCAGAGCCAGGCAGCTCTGGGGCTGGGACTGCAGCTCGATGATTTTTCCAGGCTACTGTCCCCACCTGTCCCCCACTCATGTGCCCACTCTGCAGGCACTCCCTGTCCCAGTCTTATGTGGATCTGTCACTGCTATCGGGTTTAAGTGAATTTATCTAAAATTCAAAGGGTCGCTGTTCCCAGTGTTCCTCAGTATTTTGCATTCTGAGATTTGCACGTTCCTGTCTCTATACTCTGGCTGAGAACCTGGAGCAAATCAGAAAGGCCACTGTGCTTCTTGCTCAGACACTGCTCTGAGAGGCAGGTTCCAGTTCTCTGGTGCTGAAGTCCACTTCTTGTAACAGATGGATGGCAGAATAGAAGAGGAGCAAGCTGCACTCAGTTCCTCGCCTATTTCTAGTACACAGTAGTCCCAATTTATACGTGGTCTCCGTTACCTGGGGCCAATAACAGTCCAAAAACATTGTCTTGACAAGATATCATAGTCATGTAAATTTTATTATAGTATGTCCTTATAAATGTTCTTATTATTAGTTATTGTGGTTAATCTCTTACTTGGCAATTTATAAATTGAACTGTATCATACGTGCGTACGTATAGGAAAGACCTTATAGGTCGGGTTTGGAACTAGTGTGGCTTGGGAACCCACAGGTGGCCTGGACTATATCCCCTGTGGGTGAAGGGGAGCCCCTCTCTCTGTCTTTCTGTCTCTGTCTCTCTCCATCTCTCTGTCATCTCTGTCTCTGTCTCTCTCTGTCTCTCTCTCTCTCTCTCTCTCTCTCTCTCTCTTTCTCTCTCTCTCTCTGACAAGGTCTTATTCTGTAGCTCAGGCTGGCCTGGAATTCACTATATAGCCCAGGATGGCTTTGAACTTACAGAAATCCTCCTGCCTCAGTGTCTTAAGTGCTGGGATTGCAAGCATATGCACTGCACCCAGCTGTCTATTCATCTCTATCTCTTGGTATGGTCAAGCTGTATGAAATGCAGGGCCCTGTAAGGGATCAGAGGCTGCCTAGGGTGAGTTTACAGGTGGCCCATTTCCACACTGGGGCTTGCTTCTGGAGAATACAGAAGCTTCCTGGGTCTGGTCTTAGCAGACCAGCTTCTTCACATGGGTTTACTTGAAGTATACTTCTTATACTTCAATTGTCAGGGGGCACAGAGCAATTCAGACTGTGGCAAACACAGGCCAGAGCCTCCTTCCCAGGAGCCCATGGTTCAGAACTATACTCAAGTCAGACAGACCTGAGGACAGTCTCAAGGCACAGCAATCAGGAGGCTTTGGCATGTTTCTTAATTTCTGGCCTCTGTTTCTTCATCTGTATAATGAGAATAATGCCCTCAGCCCTAGGCTGGTGTGAGGATTTCTCTCTGGGTTACTGTCTAAGGTGATGCTCTTGGAAGTAAGCTCTATTTATCCAATGAAAGGATTAAAACTCACCTCCTTTGAGGATTAATTTAATGCAGTAGCCCTCAGTGTCCTTAGGGGATTGGCCTAGGACCTGTGGACAAAATCTAAGGATTCTCATGTCCCTTATGGAAAATGATATCATATTTGCATAGAACCTGTATTGGTTCTGCTGAGGACTTTAAATCCTCTCCCAATAACTTAACACAGCTAATATAGCACACATGTGGTATAAATAGTTATCCCACACTGTTTAGGGAATAATGATAAGAAAAAAAGTTTGCATATGCTTAGTATAGGTACACTTTTTTTTCTGCATATTTTCAAAGTAAAGTTTGTTGAATCTCTATATGTAGAACCCACTGATGCAGGGAAGCAGCTGTACCTAATATCTAAATGGCAGATCTGGCATATTAGAATCACAAATATGGCTACTTTAGTTATGGGATGAGATCTGAAATATGGATATGTGAGATGTCACTGTAGTATTTCAGCCTAGCATCTCTAATTCTAGAGGCTTGTTACATCTTGGGTTTGTCTAGCCAGGTGCTGAGAGCATGTCCCCTTTGTGTCCCCAGAGCTGCTCAGCATGAAGAGCTTTGGAATTTACTCATGATGTGAGCATTAGAAACTTTCTCCAGCCAGGGAGATGATGTACAAGTGTGTTCCAAGCACTTGAGAAGTGGAGGCAGGAGAATTAGGAGTTTGGAGTCATTCTTGGCTACATAGTGAGGTTTAGATCACTGGGCTACATGAAACCCTGTCTCAACCCATTCTCTTTCCCTGCCTTCCCAGAAAAGGAAAGGCATTTTATCCATCTTCAGTCATTAATTCTCAAACATTTAGGTTATTTTCCCCTCTGTAACAAGATTCTTTTGGTTTTGTAACAAGACAACTTGCTTTTTCAGAAGTCATCTCTAGGATACTTGTTTATGTACATTCCTATACTAGCAGGTGTGAATCATGCCCCAGGCTTGGTGAATGCATTTATGTTCAAGATTTTTTTTTGAGTTTTTTTTTGCTATGTTTCCCAGGATGGTCTTGAATTTGTTCAAGACATCCTCCTGCCTTGAGCTTCTGAGTGCTGGAGTACAGGCATGTACCACCATGCCTGGTATTACTTTGACTCCCCTTTCTATTTTTGAGAAATAGTCCATCAGATGATTAGCATAAACATCTAAAACAGCATATTGTCTTCAAAAAATGCAAATGCATGAATCATATGAGAACAGTGTGCTGTCTTGAATATAAGGAATTCATATAAATACCCATATATATATATATATGTCTTTTTGAGACATGGTCTCCCTGTATCCCTAGCTGGCCTGGAACTCGCTATGTAGACCAGGCTGGCCTCAAACTTACAGAGACCCACCTGCCTCTGCTTCCCAAGTGTGAGGATTATAGGTATGAACCATCACACCTGGTTTGTAGTTTCTTTGTATAATAATTTAAATTCTTTTATTCCTTTGTGATGATAGGTATTGAACTCTAGAGACTTGCATGTACTAAGCAGGCTCTCTACCACTGAGCTACATCTCCAGTCCTTTATTTTAATTTTATTTATTTATTTTTTAACATATCCCCTGGAACTGGAGTTATGGACAGTTGTTGGCTGCCATGTGGGTGCTGGGATTCAAACCTGGGTCTTCTGCAAGAACAGCTGGTGTTATTACCACTGAGCCATCTCTCCAGCCCCTATTTTTATTGTTTTGAAACAGGGTCTTGCTTTATGTCCAAGGTTGACTTTGAACTTGTGATTCTCCTGACTCTGCCTCCTGAGTGCTGGGATTACAGGTGTGTGCCACCATGCCAGGCTATATGATAAATTTGATAATCCAAAGGTTATAATTAGTACTTATCAGTGTTTCATCTTATGTTTACAAGCAAACAAATAATAAAAACCTTTATATGAAAACCATGTAATGCTATACCACATGTGTTAAAGACTATGTTAATATTTCTAATATCCAGGAATGTTAAATATGTGTCTTGGAGAAGGCCAGGTATGGTGAATCACTCATATGCAGCATTTAGGAGGCAGAGGCAGGAGGACAGATACAAATGCGAGGCCAGCCTGGTCTACTTAGTGACTTTGTCTTAAAACAACCAACCAACCACCAACCAACCAACCAACCAACCAAAGTACACACACACACACACACACACACACACACACACACACACAGAGCAGAGAATTAAGCATCTTTTTTATTTTTGTCTTTTTGAGACAGCGTCTCCCTGTAGTCCCAGCTGACCTGAACTCACTATGTAGACCAGGCTGGCCTTGAACTCACAGCGATCTACCCGTCTCTGGCTTCTGAGTGCTGGGACTAAAGGTGAGAGAGAAAGCATCTTTATATTATAAAAGAGTTTTAGGGCTGGGTTTGGTGGCCCCCACCTTTAATCTGGTACTCAGAAGGCAGAGGCAAGTGGATTTCAGTGAGTTTGAGACCAGCTTGGTTTATATAACAAGTTATAGTCTAGCCAGGGCTATATAGTGAGATCCAGTCTCAAAAAATAAAAATAAAATAAATAAAAAATAAAGGGAGTTTAGGAAATTCCTGCTCAGGTCCATTATTAAAAAATGTAATATTTGAATTATGTATTTTTTCTTTTCTTAAATTTTTTCTCTCCATAATGTACTTGAGATTTTACTATAAAGAGATTTTGTGTCATAGTTTTTATTTAAAACTAAGACTTGCCTGGTGTGCAAACCCAGATCAAGGCCCTAGGGTTGATTCCTAGCCCTGCAAAACCAAGTCAAACCAAATCAAACTAAACTCATGCTATGTGATTTCCTTGACTGTATCAGATAGATGTCTAGTGTTTGGACTTAACTTTCCATCTGAGAATGCCAATAAAGCTGAAGTTTCCAGAGCCCACTGATACCTGCTTACATAACCCTGTGGTATTTACTCATTTA